CCTGGGCAGCCTGCTCCAGTGAACAGTGGGACCCATAGAGACACGTTGGGACCCATAGAGACACACTGAGACCCATTGGGACCCATAGAGACACACTGAGACCCATTGGGACCCATAGACTCCCCCATCTCCCTGGGCAGCCTGCTCCAGTGAACAGTGGGACCCATAGAGACCCATTGGGACCCATAGAGACACATTGAGACCCATTGGGACCCACAGACTCCCCCACCTCCCTGGGCAGCCTGCTCCAGTGAACAGTGGGACCCATAGAGACACCTTGAGAGCCATAGAGACACACTGAGACCCATTGGGACCCACAGACTCCCCCATCTCCCTGGCAGCCTGTTCCAGTGCTCCTCACCTCACTGCACAGCCGTTCCTTTGCACATTGCTGCACAACTTCCTATGCTGCAGTTTCCAACCATTTCCCCTTGTCCTGTCTCCACTCACCACTGAAAACAGTCCGGCCTCGCCATTCTGCCCCCCACACCTCAGATATTCACAGACCTGGATCAGGTCCCTTCCCAGCCTTCTTTCCTCCAGGCTGAACAGACCCAGTTCACTCAGCCTTTCCTCATAGCAGAGATGCTCCAGGCCCCTCACCATCTTTCGGCCCTCCGCTGGACTCTTCCCAAGAGCTCCCTGTCTGTTTTGTGCTGGGCAGCCCAGAACTGGACGCAGTGCTCCAGGTGAGGCCTCAGCAGGGCAGAGCAGAGGGGGAGGATCGCCTCCCTCCACCTGCTGGCCACGCTCCTTGCAATGCACCCCAGGATGCCGTTGGCCCTCTTGGCCACAAGGGCACACTGCTGGCTCATGGCAACCTGTCGTCCACCAGGACACCCAGGTCCCTCTGTGCAGAGCTCCCCTCCAGCAGCTCATCCCCCAACCTGTATTGGTGCATGCAATCATTCCTCCCCAGATGCAAGACTCTACACTTGCTTTTGTTAAACTTATGGTCAGTGCTTTGCTGTTCTCTGGACAAAGCAGTCCTGAGCAACGTGCTTTCAGGCTAAGATACTGTGACCCTGGTGTAGGAATCCTCCCAAAATCACAGAATCACAGAACGGCCAGGGTTGGAAGGGACTTCAAGGATCATGAATCTCCAACCCCCCAGCCACACGCAGGGCCACCAACCTCCACATTTAATACTGGACCAAAAGCTGGGGACCTTGTCTTTGTGAGCAGAGCCTCCACTCTGCTGGAGGTGGCATTTCTCAGACGCTTCCATCCCTCCTGACCACGGTCCCCCCTCCCTCCTTAGGTGCTGCCCCTGCCTTCCAGCTCTGTGCAGTGAGCTCTGCCTCCCCCACCCCCCATCTGGATGCTGCCTTTCCCATTTTGCTCAGGCTCAGCTGAAGGCAGCGTACATCAAATGCTGAAGTGGGAAGTCTCAGTAGTTATTCACTCTTGAGTTAAGCACCGCCGCTGCGTTGCTTTACTTAAAGTCTCAATAGCTGCAAAGCCAAACGTCCCCTCTCCTGGATGCTTGGAAAACCCTGCTCTTCAAAAACCTTCATCCTTTCTTTGCTGAGAATACTCCTATATTGAATTTTTAACCCAGAGCTTTCAGGTCTATCAGCAAAATGATGGTGATGTGAGCAGCACTCCAACTGAGGTTTCAAGAGAAGGAACAAATAAGTGGCCAGATTTCCTGCGCTTGTATTTAGCAAAGATAGCACTTATGCACTGCAGCTTTTTCTATTTTTAATTTCTCATCTCTCCCTTGCAAAATCACTGTAGTAAACCTATCCTTTTTTTTTAGTCAAAACAGCATTGCTATTAGCTGTGCAGTTTTATCCTCTGGGGGTCTCTGGGGTAAGGCTGACAGAGATACTGCAAATAGCCCCAGACACCAAATGTTCCTCTCCACGTGGCCAGGCCTTCAGAGGTTTGGCTAATTGCAAACAGCCTTTATTCAACATCCTGCTATAAGAGCAGGGGGGGATCCGTACCCATCAGGTTCTGAAAGCTCCATCCTTCCCCATCTGAAGCTTTTCTTCTTGAGCCACTCGCGTGCAACAGACAAATTTCCTTCCTCCCAGCCCGAAGGCTGTTGAACACTGCAGCATTACCATCTCAGTGACTTTGCAGTATAAAACCAATTCACCCCTTCTCAGGTTCTGTCATGTTTCTTTTTCCTTCACCTCTTGACCCAGGGAAAAGAATATCCCTGCAGAAATTATTTATGGGTCATTATGGAGCGTCCTCCCATGGGGATCTCCAAGGCCTGTCTGGATGCTGACCTGTGTGACCTATTGCAGGCGCCTGCTTTTGCAGAGGGGTTGGACTCAATGATCTCTTGACATCCCTTCCAATCCCTGCAGTCCACGACTGTGTGATCATCCACCACCCCACTCAACGTATGGAAGTTAATGCAACCTGCACGGTTTCCAGGAAGCAGAGGTTTCCCTTTGCTCTGAGCTGACTGTAAGGGAGAGAGGTGGCGTAGTGCTGTCTGAGGTGGCAGCTTTAGAAGTTCAGAAAGGGGACAGATCTGTGTTGTGGACGAGGAGGATGAGAGAGATTTGCCCCGTTCATCTGGACCACCTGTGCTTACTCTTAGTTTCTCCTTCCAGCACGTGTTCAGCTCTCCCTTCTCAGGGCACACAGCAGCCACGGCCCAGGACCTGCCACTCAACAACCACAGAATCACAGATCACAGAATCACAGAATCACCTGGGTTGGAAGGGACCTCAAGGATCATGTAGTTCCAACCCCCTGCCCAGCAGGGCCACCAAACATCCACATTCAGATCAGGTTGCCCAGGACCCCGTCCAACCTGGCCTTGAACACGGCCAAGGACGGGGCATCCACAACCTCCCTGGGCAGCCCGTTCCAGGGCCCAACCACTCTCCTTGTAAAGAACTTCCCCCTAACATCCATCCTCAATCTTCCCTCCTTCAACTTGGATCCATTTCCCCTCGTCCTGCTGTTGTCAGCCCTTCTGAAGAGTTTACTCCCCTCCTGGCTGTAGGTTCCCTTCAGGTATTGATAGGCTGCACTGAGGTCACCCCGCAGCTTCTCTTCTCCAGGCTGAACAAGCCCAACTCCCTCAGCCTGTCCTCATAGGGGAGGTGCTCCAGCCCCCTGCTCATCTCAGTCGCCCTCCTCTGGACCCTTTCCAACATCTCAATGTCTTTCTTGTACTGAGGGCTCCACACCTGGACACAGGACTCCAGATGGGGCCTCACAAGAGCCGAGTAGAGAGGGACGATCACCTCCCTGTCCCTGCTGACCACCCCTCTGCTGATGGAGCCCAGGATCCCATTTGCCTTTCGAGCTGAACCACCTTTGGGAAGTGGCGTTGGCCACTGCTCTCAGTCACAGGGTTTCAATTTTGAGTGGTGCTGCTTGGAGCCAGCAGTTGGAGCCAGCGATCCTTGGGGGTCCCTTCCCACTCTGGATGTTCAGAGGTTCTATGAGTTCCTTCCTTCTGCCATTAGCATGGCACTTCTGCCTCCTCCGTCCCACCCTGGTAACTCCTGCCCCAGTGCTGAGTTCCCTGGAGATGCCAGAGGTCTCAGCCAGTCCCACCAGAGCTGCTCATGCCTTGTTGGACAAGAAGTTCTTTACCATGAGAGCGGTGAGGGGCTGGAACAGCTGCCCAGAGAGGCTGTGATGCCCCGTCCATCCTTGAAGGTGTTGGAGGCCAGGTTGGATGGGGCCCTGGGCAGCCTGGGCTGCTGTGAAATGCAGAGGTTGGTGGCCCTGCAGGGGGGTTTGGAGCTTCGTGATCCTTGAGGTCCCTTCCAACCCAAACCATTCTGCGATCCTGTGGACAGTAATCAGTACTGAGCAGAGCAGCAGCCAAGGAACAGAGGAATGAGAAGAAATGGTTGCATTCACAAAGGCACTTTCTTGGCTGTGTGCAGCAGTGCAAAGGAACTTCTGTAGGTTCTCTGGAGATGCAGCCATTCCCCCTCCTGGCCTCCCCAGCAAAGCACTCTCTTGTCTCCATCGTGTCCTGGAAGGGTTCAGGTCTGCTCTGCTCCCCCATTCAGTTTGTGGGTGGCATCTGCTGTGCTTCTTTCCCTTTTCTCTTACAGGCTTTGTGCACTTTGATTGCTTTAAGCGTCTGTTTGCATATGCACAGTTCCAGAAATTAGCAGAGTGTAACCACTAAAATCCCGGATTAGAGAGCGACCAGATGAGATTTAGCACTGGGGGAGGGCAGAGTGTTGAAGGGGATTTCTGTAGGCTTTCCACTGCCTGCTCCAATTATAACCCCAGGTAGAGCAAGTCCTCGTGCACGGTGTGCTCTTCTGACATGGAACCGTGTGTTGGTCCACACCTTGTTGCAGAGAGAAACAGAACAAGGGTGCTCTCTTTGACCTTGTTCTTCTCTTCCCCTTTGCATAAATGCTGTGCCCAAATGTTTCCTTTCCTTCAGCTTAAGACACAGCAATGATATTTCTGCTGTTTGTTAAACTGTGAGCGAGTTCCTTTCCCTCTCCTCCAAGCTCTCATCCCACACCTGCGTTGAACTGGTGCGCAGTCTGCAGCCCATGGCCAGGCCTTCCATGTGCCAATGGGATGAGCTTCAAAGCGCTGTGCCACTGGGGAAAGGAGGCTGGAGTGAAGGAGGGGTTGGCCTCCATCTGCAGGGAACAAGGATGGGAGGGGATGGGATCAGGGTGCAACGGGGAGGGTTGGAATTGGGAACAACCTGTGCTGCAAAGAGCCGTCAGCACTGCACAGCTGCCCAGGGCAGCGGGGAGCCCCCATCCCTGGGGGTGTTCGGTGAGCACAGGGATGTGGCACTGGGGGAGGTGGGCAGTGGGATGGGTTGGGGTCAGATTGGGGATCTCAGAGCTCTTTTCCAACCTCAGTGAGTCTATGGCTCTATGATTCCATGCACGGTGTTGGAGAAGATCAGCTGGTGTCCAACAGCAGGAGCTGCCAGGGCTGTGCGCAGCTCCCTTATCAGCACGGGAACCTTCTGCAGAGCTGGAGGTGGGCAGCGCCCACAGTTCTCACTTGTGCTTCTTGGGGTTCTGCAGAGTGTCCCCTGACGGCGGCGGCTCAGCTGGAGCTCAGCACTGAGATGATCAAAGCCCTGCGGAATGGGGGAGCGCATCTGGACTTCCGCACGCGGGAGGGAATGACGGCGCTTCACAAAGCCGTGCGGAGCCGCAACCACGCGGCGCTGCTGGTGAGTCCAAATCCCAGTGCTGGAGAGCCTGAATCCCAGTGCTGGAGAGCCTGAATCCCAGTGCTGGAGAGCCCACATCCCAGTGCTGGTGAGTCCAAATCCCAGTGCTGGAGAGCCCAAATCCCAGTGCTGGTGAGCCCAAATCCCAGTGCTGGAGAGCCCAAATCCCAGTGCTGGTGATCCGAAATCCCAGTGCTGGAGAGCCCGAATCCCAGTGCTGGTGAGTCCAAATCCCAGTGCTGGTGAGCCCAAATCCCAGTGCTGGAGAGCCCAAATCCCAGTGCTGGTGAGTCCAAATCCCAGTGCTGGAGAGCCCAAATCCCAGTGCTGGTGAGTCCAAATCCCAGTGCTGGAGAGCCTGAATCCCAGTGCTGGAGAGCCCAAATCCCAGTGCTGGTGAGCCCAAATCCCAGTGCTGGAGAGCCCAAATCCCAGTGCTGGAGAGCCCAAATCCCAGTGCTGGAGAGCCTGAATCCCAGTGCTGGTGAGCCCAAATCCCAGTGCTGGAGAGCCCGAATCCCAGTGCTGGAGAGCCCAAATCCCAGTGCTGGTGAGCCCAAATCCCAGTGCTGGTGAGCCCAAATCCCAGTGCTGGTGAGTCCCAAATCCCAGTGCTGGAGAGCCCAAATCCCAGTGCTGGAGAGCCCAAATCCCAGTGCTGGTGAGCCCAAATCCCAGTGCTGGAGAGCCCAAATCCCAGTGCTGGTGAGTCCCAATCCCAGTGCTGGTGAGTCCAAATCCCAGTGCTGGAGAGCCCAAATCCCAGTGCTGGAGAGCCCAAATCCCAGTGCTGGTGAGTCCCACATCCCAGAGTTGGTAATTCCCAATTCTCAAGATCTCAGTGCTGGCTCCTTTTATCACCCTGACCTCACCTTGCTGCCTGCTCATAGCTGTACTCCCACAGCATCTCTCCCATGCTGCTGCCATGGAGCCCAGTGTGTGACAAAGATGTGCCAGGCTTGAGCCTTGGGGGGGAGAGGGCTGAGCAGCACCGTGCTATGACAGCAGCACTGGCCCCTCGTGGGTTGGTTACCCCCATGTGAGTGAGATGGGTGCATCTCCATCCCTGGAGGTGTTCAAGGACGGTGGGTTGTGAATAGTGGGCACAGTGTGGCTGGATTGGGGTTGGAGCTGCTTGGTCTTTTGCAAAATGAACGGTTCTATGATTCTCCTGCAGACACTGCTGGATCTGGGGGCCTCCCCAGACTACAAGGACAGCCGGGGGCTGACACCTCTGTACCACAGTGCCATGGTGGGTGGGGATCCCTACTGCTGTGAGCTGCTGCTGCACGACTACGCTCGGCTGGGCTGCGTGGATGAGAACGGCTGGCAGGAGATCCACCAGGTGAGGAGGATGTGGGTGAGCTCTGCTGGGCCCGGCCCTCGGGTGCTGCAGGACACGGGGTGCTGATGGGTGCTGGGGGCTGCATGGCCGGCAGGGGCTGCGTTTCTGCTCGGGGGTCTGCAGGTGGGGTTCAGCTCTGTCCCACTGCAGGCCAAGCACTTGGGCTGCCTCAGCTGCCACAGGGCAGCACTTTGGGATCTTGGGTCGACAGCTGAGGAGCCTTGGGTACAAAACCAGAGTTCTACCTGTCCCTGTTTGGCACATAAATGAGTGGATGTGGCAGAGGAATCACAGCACCATAGTCTGGAAAAGACCTCCCAGATCTTCCAGTCCACACACCAGTACCTCACCAGTATTTCCCACTGTACCACATCCTTCAGCACAACATCTGAACATTTCTTGAACACTTCCAAAGGCAGCGGCTCCAGCACCTCCCTGTGCAGCCCATTCCAGCACCTGGCCTCTCTTTTGGAGTAGAAATTTTTTGGCTGCCCCATCCCTGCAGGCATCGGAGGCCAGGCTGGATGTGGCTCTGGGCAGCCTGGGCTGCTGGTTGGCGACCTGCACACAGCAGGGGCTTGGAACTGATGAGCACTGCAACCCATTCCATGATTCTAAAATCCAACCTGAATCTAGAAGAGGGGGAAGGATTCTATGAGGTTTTCCTGCTGCCCCCTCGTTCCGTTTCTCAGTTGCTTTTCCCCCCTCCTGCAGGCTTGTCGCTACGGCCACGTTCAGCACCTGGAGCATCTTCTCTTCTACGGCGCCGACATGACTGCGCAGAACGCCTCAGGAAACACGGCTCTTCACATCTGTGCTCTCTACAACCAGGTACTCGGTGTGGTTTGGGGCACGAGGACACAGAAAGCACAGGCGAGGAAGCTGCCTGAGGGCACGGTGTTGGACCGAGGCACCTCTAAGGGCTGCTGCAGCCCCAAGATCTAAGAAAGTCCTTCTGGCTTCTCCCACCGTCTGCCCAGGGCGAGGTGCTGCTGGTAGCACCGCTCTCATCTTGGATTTCTCAAGATCCATGCTTCATTCCAAGATGTTTTTGCTCATTTACCACCCGAGCTGCTCCACAGTTGTTGCTGTGGTTCCTATTCCTTCTTCACACCACACGCAGCAAACCCCCATTGCTGGTGGGGAGGGGGGCAGTTTGCCTGCCTGGAGGGCACTCATTTGGGTGCCTTTATTTCACATTGAGGAGAGCACCTGCCTCACGTGGGGCTTTTGGGGCAGGACCTGCAGCTGGCACAGAAGCACAGAACATCTTTTTACCAATCTGAATTTTAAACATTTCTCCTGTGATGCAGGGTGGCCACTGACCTCAATTCTAGAGAAATCAGGGGGGGGGGGGTTGTGGAAGCTTTTCCTGACACCCACTGGCCTCTTTCCCAGATGTAGAGGTCAGTATCCAAGTGCTTCTCCTGTGGGATTTGTTCCTTCCTAGAGGTTTGATAGAGGTTTGATAGAGGTTTGATTTCCTGTGTGCATGGGTTTCACTGTAAAGGGATTTATGTTTCTGAGGTGTCCAGTTTTAAGAATTGAATGCTGCTGTGATTAACAATGTGGGATGGCGTATGGAAATTGATTTGTGGCTTTTTTGGGGGATGGATGTGCTCTGCTTGCTTGGGACTCTCCTACATGGCTGCCAGCCCCCTGGGGGGCCCATAGATGGGAACAGAGCATGGAAAACAAAAGCAAGAAAAAGCTGTAGGAAGTAGCAGTACCTGGGAACGTGTGGTGGTCACTGTGCCTCACAGCTGTGTTCCTGGGCTGGATTCTGGGCATTACTGCTGTAGTTGGCACACAGAGAGAGGCTCGGTCAGCTCAGTGCTGGGGGTGAGCAATTCCTGGGGGCTCAGCATCCTTATGCATCCCTTGCTCTCACCAAAGGAAGCTTTCCGAGCTCGATGAAACAAGGTGGTTTGCCTCTTTGTTGTCCCCTTTTGTTGTCTTACGATGCTGATCGATGTCTCCTTTCCTCCTTTCCAGGAGAGCTGTGCTCGGGTTCTCCTCTTCCGTGGTGCAAGCAAAGAGATCCGCAACTACAACAGCCAGACAGCCTTCCAGGTGAGGCAGCAAGGGCCAGCTGTAGAGCCATAGAACTGCTCAGGTTGGAAAAGACCTTAAAGAGCATCAAGTCCAACCACAACCTGACCGTACCACCCTCACACAGAGCCCTGTGGGGCCCCAGGAAGTGCTGGGGTGGCCTCTGGGATGAGCCTGTGTGTGAGCTGAAGCTTGCAGAACAAATCTGTGCATTCAGGATGCCTGTTCTGGCCATGGCCTGCTTGGTGAGCAAAGTGTTGTCTGTGGGAAGGGCTGTGAGGCTGCTGTTGTGGTGGGAGATTTGAAAGAGCTTTGCTTGTGTACCCCGTGCGTAACAGAGGTGGAAAGGAGGAGTTACTGCTGTCTGTGGAAGTGTTGCAGTGTTAGAGAGGGAGCAAAATCCTCAGGAACAAAGGACAGTTTTGCTGCATATAAACTGGCTGTGAATAAACTGAGAACAGAAGTTAGAAGGCCTGTTCCAGCCCCTCACCACTCTCATAGTAAAAACTTCCCCCCTGACATCCAACCTCCAGCTGCCCTCCCTCAGCTTCCAGCCGTTTCCCCTTGTCCTGCTGCCATCTCCCCTTTCCAGCTGACTCCCCTCCTGTCTGCAGGCTCCCTTCAGCTCCTGCAGCTGCACTCAGCTCACCCCCAGCTTCTCTTCTCCGTGCTGAACAGCCCAGCTCCCTCAGCCTGGCTTTGCAGGGCGGTGCTGCAGCCCCCTGCTCATCTTTGTGGCTCCTCTGGATCCTGCTGGACTCCAGCAGCTCCCTGTCTGTCTTGAATGAAGCGTGTTTTAATACAAACTCAACAAGCAGTCCTGAAACAAAAACACACAACTTCATTGTGCACTTTCCACAGTCATGTGTAGAAATTACACACAGCTGTTGGACACGCTGGTATGAGGATCAGTTCTTGAGAGCAGCCCTGCAGAGCAGGACCTGGAGGTCCTGGGGGGTGAAAAACTGAACATGAGCCAGCAGTGTGTGATTACAGCTCAGAAAGCAAATGGGATCCTGGGCTCCATCAGCAGAGGGGTGGCAGCAGGGACAGGGAGGTGATTGTCCCCCTCTGCTCTGCTCTTATGAGGCCCCATCTGCAGCACTGCGTCCAGGGCTGGGGGTCCAAATACAGGAAGGCTTAAATTCTTAGGAGGAATTTCTGTATGAAGACTGTGGCCGTGCTGCTTACGTTCTACTACGTGTTGGCTTGAATGCTGGGAGCAGAAAGCTCCTGGAAGGTGAATGGAGTGCTGCATGCAGCCTGGGCTCGTGCAGATGGAGGCAGTGGGGCTGCAGCTCTTCGAGGAGCTTTGCTTCTGGGAACTCATCTCTCATCTACTTCATGTGAAAATATTTATTTTCAGGGAAGGACTTATTCCAGGAAACCGTTTCCTCCTTGTTGAAGGAGTTGAACTTTTGCCCTTTCTCCACCTCTTGATTCCAACCTTTTCGCTTTGGGCATTTGCAAGACACGGAGGTGGTGGGCGGAGAGAGCAAATGGCTGCAGCTCCGATTTGCTCACGTCCTGCAGGGCCCTGAGAGCCCTAATGAGGGAGAAGCAGCGTTTGCCTTTCTTTTTGAAGTGGTGTGACTAATTGCAAGTTTGTCTTCCACAGAATGAAAACTGTGCTTGGTAACCCAATCGGTTTGTTTACTGAGAGAAGTATAACCTGATCCGAACCCGAATTTGATACCGCGCTCCCATCAGCTCCCAAGCTTTCCAAGAGAAGCTCCCTGCCTCTGCTTACATTGCTTGCTCAAGATTGCAGCATCTTGTTAAGTCGCTGCCCGCTGCAAAGTCTGGCACCTTCTCATGCATCGTCTTGGTGTAGCCATGGTAATGGGGTGCTACCTCTCCCTGGCTGAATTTCAGCACGGTGCAGGAAACCAAGGCAGAGTGAGGCAGGGTGTGCTGGTCAGAGCAGCTGTGTGGCTGCTGGGAGCTCACATAAAGACCTCTGCTTCTGCAGAGCTGCTTAGTCCATTTGCTTCACATACCTCATGTTAATTTCCTTGTTGCCATTAATCAAATAGCTCGGTGTCAGCGGCCTGAGATGACTTGAGATAGCACCAAGTAATTTAGAGCATTTGGAAGGTGTAATCTCTCCATTTATCATCCTCCATGCTGAGGTGGTGGGGCAGGAGAGCAGGGAGCACTGCCCAATCTGTGGGCTTCGGAAGGGGGTGTGGAGGCTGCGGGTGAGGGCTGAGCATCACCTCGTGGCATCACTCTGCAACTTGCTGTTGTCCTGGGCTGGAGCTGATACCTCCATCCCTGGGGGTGGTGATCTCCAATGTCCTTATCAGCGAGGCAGACAGTGGGGTTGGATGTACCCTCGTCGAAGTGGCTGCTGGAAAGGCTCCATCCAGAGGGACCTGGACAGGCTCAGAAAGTGATCCCACGAGAGCCTGATGAGGATTGCCACAGGGCAAAGCACGGGTGTTGTGTTGGGGCAGTCCCAGCTATGAGCGCAGAGTGGAAGAACTCCTTGAGAGCAGCTCTGCCAACAAGGACTTTGGGGTGTGCTGCCCCATCCCTGGATGTGCCGTGGCCATGGATGAGCCCTGGACAGGCTGAGCTGGGGGGCACCCAGCCTGCAGCAGGGATTGGAGCTCAGTGGTGTCTCCCCTGTTGAGTTCAGACCCTACAGGATGCGGTCTGGACAAAGCAATGCACTGTTGGTGTGGCTGTGATTGAGCCCTTTGTGACCACTCTGATGTGAGCCACCCAACAATTTTTTTCCCTATCCAGCTGTCCATGCATCCATACTGTGATGCCTGAATTGCACAGACAGAGGTGAGCCAAGAGAAGGGGTTGTCTGTCTGCTCCACGTCCTTGGTTTTGGTACCTGCTGGTTTTGTACCACAGCTTGGGCTTGCTTTCCTTTTCCTCCCTGGTTTCCAGGTGTCTCCAGGGCTCCCTGAAATGCTTCCTTTCTCAGGAGCTGGTGCTCGGTTGGGGTTAAGGTGTCACATACCAGCAATCTTTGTGCTTTAAACTTCTGGGTTATTTTTTTCACCTTTCGTTTAATAAAAGTAGCTTTTCCCATTGCCCTCAAACCTGTTTCAAAAGTAGGAGGAGTTCATGTCTTTGTGGAGGGCTTACTTTGCACTGCATTTGTTGGTGATCCATTGGAGATGCCAGCAGGATGCTCCATACAAGGAAACAATTTCTGGTTTGGTAACAGCTCTGCCTTCCAGTTTTCTTTCCCAAACCTTACAACTCTCAGGTGGAGCGTGTGGTCCCAATGGCAGTGTGGGTCTTTCTTACCTGGAGAGTTTTCGAGGTTACTTCTGCTGTTCCTGTCGTGTTTCTAGGTGATCTGCTGACCAACCATCTCTCCATAACAGCCATGACAAACCGAGCTGCAGGGAAGCGCTGTCAGTGTCCGAGTGACATCAGAAGCACTTGCTGAGTATCTTCACTTCTGATCTTTCTCACGTGGATACCTGGAACTCAGCCCCTGCCTTTTCACTGCATCACCTCAGAGCAGTTTGCAGCTGGTGCATGAAGCCCTCAGAGCACGACTGCAGCTGCCTCAGTGTCCCCCATAGCACAGGTGGGCACATGGGCTGGGGGATTAGCTTCAGTTCCTCTATCAGCCCTGTCCATGTGCTGCTTACCACGATCTGGTCTATTCTGGAGCCATCTGGAGCGCTGACCTTCTCCTCCTCCTCCTCCCAGGCTCTGGAATGTGGCACTGTGCATGCTGTGCCTTTGTATTCTGGCTCAGAAGGAGCAGTACGGTGTGATGGAGACGAGCTTGAGCTCCCATGGTAGTCTAAAAGGAGACAAACCCCACTGTCAACGTCAGGGTCTTTCTGGATCACATCTGTGTGTTATCAAGGACCGGTCATCATTCTGCACGTACTTTTCCAGCCCTCCATCACCAGCAGTGATGAAGATCCCTGTCTGCCTCTGTGCCTTGCCCTCTGGCGGAGGCTCCTCACCTTTCTGCCCCTAAGCCTCTTTGCTTGGCCAAATGATGGCCTTTCCCTCATCTCCTCCCACCACTCTGTTGCCCACACGGGGGGCCGACCCATCAGATGGTCCAGCACTGTTGTGCTCACACGCTGCCCGTGATTCCAAGGTAAGAGGGTAGATTGGATCTATGGGGCACCCAGTTGCCTTCACATGACTTCCATTCTGAGTTGGATGCTGGAAAGCTGCTAAAACTGTGTGATCTTGCTGTACCAATGCAGCTTTTGCAGCTGATGAACGTGTTAATGAGAACCCACCCGAAAGTGAACTCTGCACTGGAAGTTTTCGTTCTCATCAGGATGCTGAGTTCCCTAACAATCATCAAGTGTCAACTTCTGCACAAGTTTTTGTTCTCGTGCTACTCACGGTCAGATTGCTTCATGTGCAGCATTTTCACACGCCAAGTATAAAAATACCACGAGCAGTTGCTTCGAACTTCCTCTCATTTCACTGAAATGTGACCATCAGAGCTGCTTCTTATCTGTCAGAAAGTTGTCTGTCCTTTCGACAGCTGCACTTTTGTATCTGTTTTCTTCCCTTTCCCCAGGCTGAATTCCTCTAAGCAGGATTTTCTGGGGGTAGGTAGCTGTTACAGGGACTCACAGCTCCTTGCTATGAGTAGCACAGGCTTTGTTGATGCTGAGCTCCTTTGGCTGTGCTGTGCTCCATCCCCTGTGCTGTCACCAGAGCTGTCAGAGCTGACCTTGATCACGGAGTTGAGGCACGAGACAGAGGTTTTAACTCCACTGTCAGCATTTCGGATAAACGTTTGGCTTGATGGTAGGAAACTGTTGCCTGAATTGAGGGTATGGGTGCAGAGATCACATCCCTGCAGGGCAGAGGTGCTCTCAGTGTTGGCTGAGTTGTGATGTTTCCACGCAGGGGATGTGCTGGACAGCACAGGGGCTTGGCAGCAGCTTCTCATTGCCTCCATTGGTGGGCAGCCATGGTCTCATCTGGCTGTGGTGCCGTGGCACAGCAGAGGGTGAGCGGGTTGTGCCCAGTAAGGAACAGGAGGGTGCCTCATCTCCTCCATC